CAAAGGAGGCACTGGTTAGAAAAATCCAATGCCCCAAACTACATATTAATTAATCCTCTTATAGAAGAGTAGCAGCTGGATGGATATATCTATATATATTTACACAATGTCCAAACAATCTTCTGAGTGCTGATCATCACCTACCGGAGGAGAAAACAAAAGATCTATCCTCGGTGCCTTTGGAGAGTGGATTGATCAGTGGAGAAGAAGGAAATTGGAATTGAGGTACCACAGGTATTGATGGAGCAGAAAGTGATTGAGCTTGGTCTTCCGGTTTCGGAGTGTAATTGAAGGAGAGATCCTGGTTTGCTAGTGCCAGAAGCTATTTCTCCTCCATCCCCCTTGCAGGCCCCACATTGCCAGATCCAGTATATGTCCCATATTTGGCTATTAAATCTTTCACTTTGTTGATCTATTGCATCAACATAAAAAAACTTGTTGCTTGCATTAATATAAACTGATACATAAAGAGTGCATATATGGTAGTGGAAAACAAATATATACATCTTATCTATTTTGCCTGTAATGTGAAACTTACGCTCTCCGGGCCTATTTAATCTTTAATGACCAAAATTGTTTTCCATTTTACCTGTCTTTTAGTAGTAGTTTTTAAAATTTGACCATTCTTTTCCTTTATTAGTGGAAGATAAATTGCCCCAAAGAATTAAAACGAAATTACTCCAGCATTTGCATTTTCTTAAGTTGTGCACTTTGGAGGACAGATGAATAGGCATGGAGAAGCTATGCTAAACTCAAATAACATGGTATAGGGTGGCAAAGATGGTATATTACTTCACAGGCATCAAGATAAGAGATCTAAGGGGGAGCAGAGCACATGAAAACTCACTGTGGCATTAGTGCAGCTGAAGCTACAAACACAGCCTTCAGATCCTCTATAGAAGCGAAAGAAGAGAAGAACATGTGCATTAAGGCTGGCATGTGCTCCTCATAATTCACTTGCAGAAACTGTATGCCTGGGTTTATTTATGCAAACTGGCATATCTGCATTGCCACATATTAAAATATATCAGCTATGATATTGTTAACGACTTAACGCCTTTAGTTTGGCTTCCCTCGACTCTATTCTATGTGTGGCCAAATTGCACTTTTGTCCAAAAAAGTATTTTTTAAAGCTTTCTTAGAGTGTAATGATTCTAATAACATTGTAAAACCATATTAATATATTATAATATGCTAAAGAGCAGTTCAGGTTAGTAAGTGATTACTATTAGTCTATTATCAAGCTCAGCTACACTGCTATAGAGCAATGTGAAGCAGTCCATTTTCCTCTATGCTAAAGAAACTTATCAAGAACTTAAAAGGTGATGATGACATAAATAAAAGTATTGTTTGGATTAGTAAAAAAAGAATCATGAATCAAGAAAACTTCATCCGCAGGAGAACATATACTGCTTGGAGAATGCTTTTTTAGCACCAATGCACCATTGCTAACCAAAATCTGATCAAAGGTAAGAGATGGCTCAATCTATTATCTTAATAGTATATCTACAAAATCAGGTTAGTAAGTGATGACTATATTCAAGTTCAGCTACAGAGCAATGTGAAGCAGCCCATTTTCCTATACACTAAAGAATATTATCAAGTATTTAAATGCTAGGAAATAAATAAAAGTATAGTCTGGCTTAGGAAAAAAGAATCAGGAATCATGAAAAATTAAAAACGTCATCTCCAGGAGAATATATTGCCAAGACTGCTTGAAGAATACTTTGTTTAGGTCAAAAGTTGTGCCAAAGCTAATCAAACCGAAGAAATTAAAAGTTGCACCAAAGCTACTCTCAATATTCACTTCATTTGCTAAGTATATTTTAGGAAGGGTTAGAGGTGCCTCCTCTATGGTATTTTTTTAGAGATGTTTGGTTGCTGATTATGCCACAATTAGTAATAAAATTTTGATACAGCTGCTTGGTTTATTTGGTGTTACCTTCATTGGGTTATGTAGTTATGTAAATTGACTGAAAGTTTGTTTTAATAAATTTGCTGACAAATGCTTGACTTTCTGTCATATATCTGTCCGTATATTTTTTCTTTTGTTATAGGGATATTGGTATATTTGTTAAGTATTTTTTAGAACAGGTTAGAGATGCCTCCTCGATGGTATATTTTATTTCTATTCTTCTTAAACTAAACTTAGAAAATCAAAGAATTTAGTAGTTTATATATGTTTTCAGTCACTTCAATTAAAGAGGTTTAACACGTACATATGAATTCGAAGTTTTCTTCAAACTTTCTTAAGACTTATAACAACACTTAAATCTTGAATTAGAGGCATACGCAAAGGAGCCTCAAAATGAAAGAAGTATAGTAGTGAGTTTTTCATTTTCTCTGAAAATCTCAAAAAATGCCTCTATGTAACTTCTGAAAATTCAGCGGCTGAAATACAATGAACATATTCAGTACTAAATGCAAATATATAGAAATATGCAACTGATTTATAAATAGATCAAACTACACCCCATAAATGTTCATATCAACAGGAAACAAAGAACAAAAATAAATAAATAAGAAGCTTGAATAGAATTTGAAGCAGCAAGAACAAACAATACCTTATTTCACCAATCGATTGTCCAGGAATGTAATACAATTGTATGAAAGAGTAGTGAACGGGGCCTTGGATCGACATCTCAGCCCTGAATTGCAACCGTTGAGGCATTTTTGAAAACCAAGCAACCAAAAACGAATTTAGACAAAGAAAAATTCAGAAGATCGAAAACATGGAAAAAAATCTTAATCAAGAACTGATATTAGTAGATTCAAGGAAACTAAAACCGGAATCGAAACCTGAATTTTAAAACCCAAATGGAGAGAGGAGTTGCTTCAGTGCTTTTGAACTCGGATTGAGTTCCGATGAGTGGAGAAGAATTAGAGTTGTTGATCAATGAAGAGGATGAAGATGAAGTTTAGAAAGGTTGGCGACTGATATGAATTCCGCTACGCAGAAGGCGACGATGAAGATGATGGTGTGGACTGCGATGACCTGGAATGAGAAGGAATGAACTACTGGAAAAGTCGAAAGCCGTAGATCTTGTTTTGATCGTGCGGATGAGATGCATTCGAATCTTGAGCGGCAAAATGAATTCTCCAGAAGTACTGTAATTATGTAGAGTGATTATTTTTCGTAGCTGCTCCGCGCGCCTCCAAAATAACTGGGCGCACCCAATTTTTGTCAACACTGGACAATTTTGCCCTTGGTCATACTTCACGTCACTTCTAATGCATGTGCTAGGCGCACCACTGCGTAAAACCCCCTTCATTATTGATATTTAATTTTCTAATTTTAAAATCTTGTAGGATCACCGCTCACCACTCACAAGAACCAAGCCTAACAATTTGACATTTACCCTCCTCCAATAATTTGTTGCCATGTGGCCAATTTTCTTTTTATAAAATGTTATAACTTTTCCAATTTCGCTGCTACTTTTATAAAAATTATATCAAATTAAATAAATTTTTATGATCTTTCATATGACACCAATATCATATATGTAAAAAAAACATTTGGTCAAGTCTGTTGAACGGCCGATTAATGTATATTTACTACATAGTAATTTTTAAATCTAGTCTACTTTGATCTGATCTAATTAATTGAATTTATCTGGATCGAAATCAGTTCAATTAAAAGCATTCTACTCCGTAAGTATCATTCACGTCTTAAATCTAGTTTTTTTTTTATGAAAACGTCTTAAATCTAGTTATGTACTCCGTAACATATATGGTCGTAATTCAAAAAATTAATAATACTTATTTAAATTAAAAACTTTGGATAAATAAAATAATATTAAACTAACATTCTAAATTATATATAGGTGCCGTTAATTTATATAAATTAAAGACAATTGCAATTTGAAGTGTACTTATTAGTCTGACAGAAATTTATTTGTTGGGTGACATTAATTTATTGTTATGCCATCAATAATCTTATTGTCTAATCTGATATAATCTTATCTTATTTGTTTGATTTAAGTTTGGTCTAGTCTAATCAGAACTAGTCTGCCCTGTTAGATGTTTGTTTATGTGGGGTGCGCGTGTTCTTTTGTATCTGTGTTATACAACTATCGAATTTTGATTTGGTCTGATGTGAGATCGAAAATATTTAAACTAAAAACATTCTAGACACTATCATATCATATTTAGATGATAATAGAATATAGATAATAGTATATTCAATATAAAGATGAATGAAAAAGTATATATGTGATCATCAAAATATTAACGAATATTGTTTATGACAAACTTAATGAAACTCTGTAAAAAAACTTAATGAAACACATCAAAAGGAAGATCTGAGATACAGATAATGGGGCAGATGAATACCGCATAAGTCTAAATCAATAGTACTATTTTTTAGATATTTTTCAGATTTATTCTCCATTGTATAAGAAGATTGTAAAAATTTATAAAAACTATTAATAATGAGTTTCAAATATTTATTTAGTAGTTGTTTGATGATAGTTAAAAAATTTAATCTTATTTATATTAATTATATTAGGACCTTGAGTGTATTTGAAAGATAGTCACCCTCGTGTTTTAGGGAACATTAGAACTTATTTTATTTTTAAAAACAATAAGACCCATTAAAATTAAAAATCAATTAATTTAGTACTTCCTCCGTTCCTTTTTAATTGCAACAATCAACATTTCACGTTTGCCAATGCACAAGTTTGATCATTAATATCTTTTATTCCTTATTAGTAAAAAAATTAAAAAATCATATTTTGAAAATTTAGAATGAGAAGAATTTAACAATATTTTTTAAAAATTTAATTTATTATACATCAATTAATAAAATGTAGTCAAAGTAGAACATGAGAATAGTGTAAAAAGTCCAATGTTGCAACTAAAAGAGAACGGAGGTAGTATTATATTACCATCTTTGAATTGAATTAAGAATACGAACAATTGTTTATGCATTTCATTGATACTCCTCCGTGTACAATTATGCATATTTAATGGGTTTTTGTCGTTTTGAGGGGTGCGCTTAGCAAAATCATGGCACAAATTGGTAGAGGATCAATTACTATACCGAATGGGAAGGGTAAGATCGTCTAGCTAAAGGTGCGCGTAGCAATTAAGGGGTGCGCGTAGCATCACCATTATTTTTACTAAAAAAATCATATTGTCAGCTTTCCTCAAATTAGAACCCAAGTGAAAGCCAACGAGTATTGAATTTTTGTATGAATGCAAAGCATTTTTGTTTGAGAGAAATGTTCCTCCATTGACAGTTGACACTCGTGGTTTTCTCTACCATTCTACCACGCAGCCAGATCTCACGATTTCGATATCTGATTTGGAATTTCTGATGTTGTGTGATGCTCTGTGATTTTCCGAAACTGGGTCAACTGGAAGGAGTGACGCGGTTGAGCTGATGACTACCGCTTCAATGGCGACTCGACGTTTCCTTACATTCATACTTTTCCTGATCTTCTTCTTGGCCTCTCTTCTGGACGTTGTGGTTCACTGTAAAACCCTCAAGCGGGACGGTAATTGCCACTCTCCCTCGCCTGGATCTCTAGTTTCGCGCTCAGTATAAATTACATATATCCTCTATTTTTAAGTATGAAACAGCTATGTTCTGAGGAATTCAGTTGCATTTCAGTCAACGTTTGCTCAATGTTGAACTCTAGATTTTTTGTTACAATTAATTTAATCTTAATATCTAGATGCTCTTGTTTATAAATGCATGTGTTACTTTCATGTGTAGTGACGATATAGAATCTGTTAATTATTGCCCTTCTATATGAGGGGATTTATGAATTTCTTAGATCTAAACTTGAAGTGACCGCTTGTTAATCTCTATTTTCACCCTATCACTCTTAGAGGCCGTTTGGTAACCTCATTTTTCGGCTTATCAGGCTTATCAGCCAACTTTTTCACCAAACACGTAATTTTCACTTTCGCGCGCTGGATTGTGTAATAAGCAGAAAAAGTAAGGTTGAAGTTACTTTTCTGGCTGTATTGGCTGAAGTTACTGTAGATGACCATTTTAACTATTTTTACATATAAGTTTTTCTTTATTTTATTAATAAAATATATTTTAAAAATAATTTTTACTCAAATCAGCAGAAACAGCCAAAACAGCCACTTCAGCCAGAACTTCATAAATTTCAGAAGAATCAGCCAAAACAGCCGATTTTTGTGCTACCAAACGGGTTCTTATTAACCAACTTTTTTATCTGTAACTTTTTATTTCGCGTGCTTAATTATGTAATAATCTAAATAAGTAAAGTTGCAATTACTTTTCTGGTTGAATTGACTGGAATTACTGAGGACCATTTTAATCATTTTTCATATAATATTTTCTTAATTTGATGAATAAAGTATATTTTGCATATAATTTATCCATAATTGATTTAGCTACTTCAACCCGAATTTGCAAAATTTCAGCAGATTCAGCCGATTTTTCCAATTCCAGTGTTACCAAACAAACTCAAAGTTTCTGAATGTTGGTGGTATTAAGTTTTTAACAAATGTACGGCATTTAATAAGAATTCAAATATTGCTAATTAAAATTGAGAAATGTAATGATCTGTTATGGTTGGTACTATTGCTTTTCTTTAAGGAACTTTCGCGTTATGATAAGCCATCTCACACAGGTCAAGTATCAAATACAAACATTTGGCCTACTCCTATCATTTTGAACTATGAGCAATTAAATAATCAGGTAAGCCCCACACAAAGTTCTAGATGTAAGTAAGTGCCACACATACTTCTATATTGGTCTGCTTGAATGAGGCACATCTTGGAGACTTCTTAAGTCATTCCAGACCGTGAGCCACCTACAGGCTATTTCTCCAGCCTTTAAGGACGAACCCAATACCCATTTCTTGATACTGATAATGTCCATGGTATGCTAAATTGTACGGAGAATGTCAGTATATGTTTCTTGGTGGCCTATGCGTGGTTGGAAATCATCAAGCTCATTTTGATGGAATCCTAATCAAATTTGCTATGTGATTGCAGTGAAAGCACTGAATGAGATTAAGGCCTCTCTTGGCTGGAGGGTGGTGTACGCATGGGTGGGAGATGATCCTTGTGGGGGCAGTGACTTACTCCCATGGTCTGGGGTTACTTGCTCCACTCAGGGCGACTACAGAGTAGTTACTGAACTGTAAATATGCATATGTCAATTGAAGCATCACTCTTTGCTCTGGTCTTTGCTTTACACTGTTTTTACCTTCACTTTATTACACTATTTGCAGGGAAGTCTATGCAGTTTCAATTGTCGGTCTTTTTCCAACTGCTGTAACGAATTTGTTGGATCTTACTAGACTGTAAGATTATTTCTTCAAAATTCATACTTGCTCCCATTTTTTCTGCATACCTGTTGCATCTGTAATATGGAGCATTGGAGTGTGGAATAACTGGCCTTTCTTCTTTAACTTGTCTCGCAGCTAATTTTTTTTTTGTCCTTTAACTATTTTTGTTTTATTTTAGAAATGTTATGTGCATGACTCTTTCCATCAACACTTCATCTTGCTAACCTAAATTATCTTTGACATGGTAGGGATTTGCATAATAACAAGCTGACTGGTCCAATACCCCCTCAAATTGGGCGCTTGAAGCATCTTAAAATACTGTAAGACTATTACCATGCATTCTTTTGGATATTTTCGGGTGCTAGGATTTGGATATTGTTTCAAAATTAAAAGGTAGGAGAGTGGGTATTTTCATTTTAAGAAACCAGTACTATAACGTGACATTGTTTTCAGTCTAAGTAATTTTTTTTGTCATCATAATTCATAAACTATATGTAGACATGTAGTTATGTAAAAGTATAAAAACAATACCTTCCATCCCTTCCCATCTGAAATCCTCTTGAGCATAATGCCCAACAATTCATTAGAGTATGCATCCATGTTAGTATACCCACAAGTTGAACATGTTTGTTCCCTAGTTTGTTAGATGGTATTAAATGTTTTTTTTTTCTTTTGGGGGGAGTGGTGGGATTGTGGGAAAGACCACAACTTTATCATTAACTTTCGTGGAGTCAGAGAACTAAACTATGCTGACCTGTTTTATTTGGTCTCCTAGTGTCCTCCACATCTTCAAGTTTACATTGCATAGTGATTAAATCATCCATTTATTTATTTATTCCTCTTTCTCTCATTTCCTCCTTGTTTTCCTCATCTTTCAGTAACTTAAGGTGGAATAAGTTTCAAGATGTCATCCCCCCTGAAATTGGGGAACTAAAGCAGTTAACACACCTGTAAGTTATTTCCTTTAACTCTTAAGCTTCTATATCTATTTTCAAGTTTGATGTAATAAACTAATATCTGAATGTTTGACATATCTTCTTAGTTACCTGGGCTTCAATAACTTTAAAGGAGAAATCCCTAAGGAGCTTGCAAATCTTCCCGAGCTCCGTTATCTTCATCTCCATGAAAATCATTTCACTGGACGAATCCCGCCTGAGTTAGGAACTTTACAAAATCTTCGACACTTGTAAGACCTTACCCGGATTTCTTTTTTGTTCTTAGAGCGTGCAGCATTTAGGATCATAAATGGAGGGGTTTGGAGGGGTTCACAGGAAGGCTTTGGATGAATTAGCCTTTCTCTTGACTAATACGACTAAAATGTTTCTGAAAACTAATAAAAGGTGTTTGAAATCATATCAACAGGATATTACTTTGATTTTTCAATTTTATGGAAATCTATAAAATATATGTGAATGTAGACCAGCCCCTCCATATCTCTCTAAAAACCCTCCATCCAAACATACCCTTAGTTTTATACATATTTATAGATTGATCTACTACTAATTTCAGGGATGCTGGCAACAATCGTCTGGTTGGGACAATTAGGGAGCTCATTCGCATCGAAGGATGCTTTCCTGCTCTTCGCAACCTGTAAGTAGATTTAATTTTCATGTTACCTAATCAAATAACAATAACTTATAATTATATTTATTGTGGGATTAATTACCATAGAGTACAACACTTGCAGTTATTTGAACAATAATTATCTTACTGGAGGTATTCCTTCTCAACTTGCGAATTTGACAAACTTGGAGATTCTGTAAGTGATACATGTTTATCCAAATAATCATGTGTCCTTGTAATGAAGTAAATTATATCACATGGTTCTATATTGGGCATGTGATGATTGTGATGTGCTGGATACAGGCACCTTTCGTACAATAGAATGACTGGTGTGATACCAGTCAGCCTTGGTCACATCCCGAAACTAACTTATCTGTAAGTGCCTCCTATCTGTTATTTTATTTAATCAATTCATGATCCAACTTTGGAATCATCACTAACCGTTTCAACTGTCAAGTGTGGTGCAATGGGGACTATTTGAGAGGAGTACCGGGAAATAGTTTGCTTTTTAATAATAATATGAAACATTTATATTGTGGTGATTGGCATTTGTATAAGATTTTTTTCGTGTTTCACTTAGGTGAGCAACCCAAAATGAAAGCAGAGGACCAATAGTATGAATGGGACATTGGGACCTAAAAATAACAGCGAGATCAGAACTGGAAATTTTTATGTGCATATTTCTAGACTTGTGCAACCCATATCTCATAAAATTGTTTAGTTTAATGCTATAAAAGATCTACATCTCGTATTAAAAAAATCTACATAGGTAGTGGTGAGTTGGCAATTATTTGTTTGTTCTTGAATTGATGGGAAATCTCAGAACATTCTCTACTATTTCAGTTATCTGGACCACAACCAATTTTCTGGGAGGATTCCTGATGCATTCTACAAACATCCTTTCTTGAAAGAAATGTATGGCAATTAATAACTTTGGCATCTTTTCTACTTATTATTTTAAATAAATACATAGAAGAAAATATCCATGTCTAATGCTTAAAGCAACTCCACATCTTCTATTATTTACTTATTTATTTGCAGGTACATTGAAGGAAACTCATTCCGGACAGGTGTGGATCCCATAGGCATCCACAAAGTTTTGGAACTTTCTGAGATTTCAGACATAGTAGTTTAGGTTAAACAAAGTTTTGAAAACTCATTCTCAGACACAAAATATACAAACACTGCACATTGATTAGTTTTTAGCTTAAACTAGCTATATGTTACTCGTATGAGCTATCTAAGTTAAAGCTTTTTACGTGTATGGTTAAAGCTTTTGTGTTTGCCTGTCTTCCCAGAAAAGCAGCCTGAACGTCTTGGAATGCCCAATATTTGCTACATTTGTGTAATTAGTAAATCAGTTTCTTATAATTGAATAAACTCATTCTTGATTTTTTTAATGCATTTCTTCAAGTATAAACTCCTGTCATTTGTGGAAACTAAGACCTTTAATAAAATGACACGTACGCCAATCTAGAGTAAGCATTGTTAGATTGTGAAAACATTGTCGTCCTATTCGCACAATCTATTGATAATTGATCCATTTCAACACAGATATCACAAAGGTAAAAGCTTTTAATTAATACTCCGTACTCTGTATATATTGGACAGATTGATCACTCGAATAGTTTTTCGTTGACAAGAATAGTGTTTCTTTTAAAGATTAGAAGAAAGCGTGAATGGATGTGGATGGACTCGATTCCAGTTCTTGGACATGACCTGGTTGGCAAAATGACCAAACCAAAATTGACTGAATTGTAACCGGGCTAGTACTGCTACTTAGAATTGACCCAAGCAAGTCAAGACTCGGATTCTTGTGTGTGAAGTCCTGAACCAGTTATCAGTTAACAAGAAGTTAATAGTTGTTCCAGAACAGGAATCAAAACTGGTTTGGGGTCAGTCCCGGATTAGGGCTGCACATCGGGCGGGTTGGGTCGGGTTTGCTATATTTTCTAGGCCTACCCGATTTTTTCGGGTTGGCTATTGACCGACCCGGATGCAGGTATATGGTGTGCAAGAATGGGAATCGGCCCCTCCGATGGTAGGCCGGAACCGGCCTGTATCAGCCCTGAATTACCTCTCCTTCAAAATTCAATTGAGAGAGACGGACTATTACTCCGTACATAACTACATGAATTCTACGTAATTGAGAGGCTAAATGTGTAAGGATGCAAAACGCTTAGACTAAAAACCAGGGACAGAGCCAGAACTTAGTCATAGGGGGGGCAAAGAAGCAACAAAAAGAACCAACCAGATTTTTTTGAAGAATTTTTTTGAGAATGTTATCCATGATGTGTAGATTATTTACATCAAATTTCAGTTTAAAATTCAATCAGGAAGTCAATTAAACAAATTATTAAAAAACAATGAGTCAAAATATATATAAAACAACACAATGTTTTTCTATAATTTTTTAATTGACTTCTTGGTTCAATTTTAAGCTAAAATTTGTTTGAAATAATCTACTCTTCATGACAAATATGCTCACAAAATTTGATAAAAAAGTTCTACACAAAAACATCTCAAATAGAGGCTTCTATCAGGTTATTTTGGTCCCAACTTTTCTGATTATTTTATATTGGATACTAATACTATTAAAAAGTATAAAAACTGGGAGGGGCAATGGCCCCCCTACCCCTCAATGTAGATCCGTCCCTGCTAAAAACAATATTTTTTCTTAAATGTGAAGATTTTATTGTGGAAATTTCAAACTATTACAATTACAATTAAGTTGATATTTAGCGTACCCGAACAGATTGAGGACAACCCTCTTAAGATTGTGTGTAGAAATGTACTAGTATTTAACTTGGGAAAATAGCCCCAAATAGGAGTTCAAAACTTCCTAAAATCAATAATAGGACTGCTAATAAAATATTCCCAATTTAGGAGTCATTTACTCCTATTCCTATTTCCGTGTAGTTGTCAATTGTCTTAATTACCCTCAATTAAAATTTTAGAAACCTGCCAGCCTGCCACGCAATTCCACCGCCAACTACCTTCCGTTTTTTTAGTTGCTAGAAATCGATTCTCTTCCGGCTCGCAAGTCTCTTCTTCATTCTTCGCAGTTCATGATGGTCTTCAGAATCACTCCGCAAGTCGTAGTTGTTGTGTTGGATTGAATCCAAGAACGACGAAATTCATCCATCTTACTCTTGTTCGTGAGGTTCGTCAACTATTTTGCTGGTACGAGTTAATCAATTCGTCCTTTTTCAAACGTTCATCTTCATCTAATTTTTCAACGCTATGTTCATGGACTAAATTCTTCATATTGTTTTTGAATTTGTAACTTGATATTTTAGTTATGATTGCACATTAATCTCTCTTTATTTATACATTACCTTTTGTACGTGTTTATTATCTGCTTTGTTTTCAACTACACATGTAGGTCATTCTATATTTCTGTATATTTGTTCTTATGTTGATCTCTGTGACGCTTAATTGTTGCACTATCATTCGTGCTTTTCTTCATGTTTTAAGTGTTATGCTTATTCAATTCTTTTTGTTTTGCTCTTGATCATAACTGCTAATTTGTAATTTTTTGTTTTGAACTGTCAGATTGCTATGTAATTGTGAAATACTTTCATTTTTGCTACAATTACAATTATATCTTTATTGATTTCCAAATTTTCTGAATTTGTTTGCTATTTTCTGTCATTAATTGTCCTTTTCTGACACATTGTTGCTTAGTACACTTATTGTTGTTTTCCCTTTTCATTGTAGATACTTTACTGGTAACATGGATTCAGAGATACTTATTATGTTGAAGTTGAATGGTACTTGGAATTCTGCCCTTACATTCACCCATACAGACACTTGTTTTGTTCATGTTCATTATCTAGCAACGTATTCATCATTCATTCAGATGTTCACTCCGGTCATTCTTCAGTATAAACCGGATCATCTTTTTAAGTTGTCCTACTTGGTTGAAAGTTGTCCACCCCCTGTTATTGTTAATGATGAGTTGACTTTCAGATTTTACCTTCAGCTTAAGTGTGTGCAACCTGCTTCTCATAAGTATCCTTTATGTGTAGAGTTTTTCCCTAGACCTGCTTTTACCATTCAGCCTATACAATTACCTAAGCCATCTGAACAGTCACACTTTTCTGCTAATACTCCTTCTATTCAAAACCTTTCTCATGGCATGCAATTTTATAAGGATTCTGAGTTTGATTTGGGTGATGCTCAACATACTGTTTCTGGCACATCAAACCCTATCTCTTGCACATCTGACATTGATATGATAGAAACCATGAACAACGCAAGCACCTCAGATTTGGAAGACAGTGATTCTTTGTCAGATAGCCCTCTCCCACTCTCACCTCAACCTCAGTATAACTTCCATAATGTAGAAATCATCACTCACCATCATCCAACTTGCATTGTTCTTCATGCCATATACCTGAATAAGAGAGAGCTGAAATACCATTTGCAGATGTATGCCATTACTAATGGTTTTCAATACAGAACTCTAACCTCAAGGAAAATCTGTTTACATGTTATTTGTGTGGCCAAAAATTGTAAATGGAGTGTTCGTGCCGTGAAATTAGATGGCGTTGAAATGTTTCAAATCCGCAGGTGACTTCTTCTATCCTTTACTGTTTTCTATCTCTTTTATTTTAGTCATCTTTTACATTGCTTCTTTTATAACTTCATTTTTCTTTTTGGTTTTTTTGCATTTGACTTTTGTTATGCTTTTCTTTTGTGTTTCATTATTGTTAGTTACACAAATAATCTTTTAATTTACCTTATCTGCACATTTATATAATTTTATTTCCCTGCAATCAGTTATGATGGCATTTGGTTTATGTTTTTTAATTATAAAATGCCATGTTATGTCTTGTATCTTAACAATGGTTATTGTTCATTTGCTCCTATTCAGGTTTGATCCTGTTCATGTTTGCTCCATTGATTTTAGGCAAGGGAAACATAGACAAGCTACGTCTTCTGTCATTGCAAAATTAGTTGCTCATAAGTTTTTGGACGCTTCTACAGTCCCATACAAACCGAAACAAATCAGGGCTGATATGAGCATGGAATATGGAATTTCCATGTCATATAAGAAGTCATGGAAAGCCCGTAAACAAGCAATGGAAATGCAATTTGGTTCTGATGCTGATTCCTACCAAATGTTGCCTTCTATTGGATACATGCTTGATAAGACTAATCCAGAGTCTAAGATTACTCTCACTATAGGGGATGGTGATGTTTTTGAATATTTTTTCATTTCCTTGTCTCCTTGGATAAATGCGTGGCAGCATTGTAGGCCTGTTCTTATTGTTGATGGATCATTCTTGAAAGCTTATTATAAAGGGACATTGTTGACAGCTTGTGCACAAGATGCAAACAATCAAATTGTTCCTATTGCATTTGCTATTTGTGACTCGGAAAGTAAAGCATCATGGCATTGGTTCTTATCTAAGGTGTCTGCTTGTATTCAATATCGCGATGATATGTATATTATATCTGATAGGCACAAGGGTATTCTTAGTGCTGCCCGTAAAGTCTTTCCACATGCCAGCCATGGATTCTGTGTTGAGCACCTCCGGCGCAACATGATTTCAAAATTTAGAGGCTCTTCTAAAGATTTGGGTTGGAAGTTTCGAGCTGCATATATGGCCTCAACTGTGAAGGAGTATGAACAGTATTTATCATTGTTAGATGCTGAAGATGTTAGGATGCGTGCATGGCTTGAAAAAATTGGAGGCCAGAAATGGGCAAAATGTTTGGCTGGACCAAGTCGATTTAATGTCATGACCTCAAATTGCGCTGAGTCATTGAACAGCGTTAATGTTTGTGCACGAGAATACTGTGTGTCCAAACTTATTGATTTCTTGCGTGAAAGAATGCAAGAATGGTTTACCGAACGAAGGGAAAAAGCCGAATCTACACATACCATATTGTCTGAAAAAAATGAAAAGGTTCTTGTTGCTTTACAATTGGAATCAAGGTGCATGAAGGTATTTCATCTCGTTCTCTGTTGTGCTTTTTCAATTTAATTGCCTTGTTTAGTATAGTATTCTGCCAGGCACGTTTTTTGGCATTTTACGTTTTGGATTTCCATCTATGAAAATCATTTGCCACTATTTTACTCCCGCTACATATCTTCTTATCTCTTTGTTTGTAATTCCATATTTTTTTATCTGTTTTAGTATAGTATTCTGCCATGCACTGTTTTTGGCATTTTACGCTTTGGATTTCCATCTTTGAATACCAAATGCCACGTCTGTACTCCTACTACATATCCTCTTATCTCTTTGTATGTAACTCCATTTTTTTATCTGGTTTTTTATAAAAGTTTTTATTTTTTTTTAGGTGAAGCCATCTTGTGCGTACGAGTTTGAGGTTATTGATAGAAAGTGTAGATGCTTTGTTGTGAATCTTAATTCCAAAAGTTGTAGCTGTGGGCAATTTCAATTGGACCATTTTGTTTGTGTGCATGCTGTTGCTGCAATTGGTTCTCGTCCGGGCTTATCATGTTACAATTATATATCTCCTTATTACACATGTGATATGTTGTTGGCAACTTGGAGTGGTATAATGCACCCTATTGGTGATTCTGAAGATTGGGTCATTCCTTCTCATATTTCAAGTGTTCGTTGCAAGCCTCCTAGCTGTTTGAAGCGTCCACCTGGGCGTCCTAAAAAGTCAAGAATTCCATCAATAGGAGAATATCGTGGTTCAAAGCACCGAAAGTGTTCTCGTTGCAATGTTGTTGGCCATAATAAGAAGACTTGCTCTAATGCTATTCCGATGGCCAAGAATTGATAGTTTTACACTTGTTTTCCCAGCTTTGGACAAGATACATCCTGTAATTTTTTTACACTTAATAAGTTGTACTCTACACTGTTTAGTATTGAACACTATTCTGCTTTTTAAAGCGAAGTGATATGTCATTTGTTTTCTATACATCTTTGTTCTTGCACGTTTTTTGATGATGTATATCATTCGCTTTCTATACATTCATTTTTTGTTATGTAGCACATTTATGCCATTTGCTTTGCATTTACACTTTTCCTAGTTCTTACTCAACTTTGGTTATACATCATCAGAATGTATATGTAGCTTTTTAAATTCTATATTCCTTTAATATTTGTATAAAGTTAATCCAGATTAATATTTTATTTATATTGTTATTCTCCATCATCTTAATTCTAGTTTGTTATTATATATTCTATTTACATCATCTTTTCTACTGATGCAAACTATTCACTTAGCTATCCTACTTATGTCATTAAGTAAAAGGCATGAATATATCAAATTAGTACTTTAAAATGATAAAACTATTTGTTTCACACATTCAACACCATTTAGCAAAATCGTAATATATAAAATGGCATTTAGTTGTATGTAATGTCATCTTTTGACCTCTTTCAATGCACACTTATTTTAATAAAAGAGCCTTTATCATTGAATTGGAATAGGAAACAGATATATACATTACGTCTACAAATGTAACTGAAGTATACATAAGTTTGCCAAACTCTAATATATAAAATGGCATTTTGTAGTTTGTAATGCCATATTTTCCCCTATTTCCCTGCATATATCTTATTATCAAAGAACACTTATCATTCTATTGAAATAGAAAACACAATCACATTTAATCTGAATTATCCAACACAAAACAGTCACATGAATCAAAGTTTAAGCATATTACACATAGTTCCAAATTGACTTCACAAAAAAACGAACATTATGACATAAAACCATACATTGTCTGAATGACACATGTCTTGCAACATATGCAGAAACACATCTTGTCATTGTATCATTATTCCCTTATAAACTTTGGCATCTGCACTCCTTTAGCCTCACTCATTCTCTTTTCACTATACATAACAAGCTCTGTCGCCATTTTTTGCCTAAACATTGGCATTTCATCAGCATCTATTCCATCAAGCTCCATATCCATGATTAGGAATTCAGCAATCTTGAGTACAAACATTCCACAGTCCCCCCTGTAAGCAAATAGAATTCTATATTTAATCACACATTGAATAATCACCCATTTAATATTGCACAAAACATATTTTAATTTGCATTTCTTACGCGTTAGTCTGTTGTGGGCAGCTTTCTACAGCTTCTATTTGTAATTCTTTCCCTCCCATTGGCTCCTCTCCAGAATTAGCATGCACATTGTAGTAGTCCATTATTTTAGGAAGCAAGACTTTGATGCATGGGATGAATGGTCGGATATCTTTCAGTGAATCTCCCCTTCGAGAACTAGAGTTGTAAACTCTAACCTTTCTGTTCTTGATGTCCAGCACAAGTAACACCCAATGTTGACCAGTGTTTAAAGGGAAGTACACAAATTGGCAATCACACCAGTGTAGGGCAAACTTTGATGTACTTCCTTGCACACTGTGCATAATCTCATCATCATCTGCAGCTTCGTGAACAGTTCCTTGACCCTTCAGAATTTTCTCATGTTCACGCCTTAGTATTTGTATAAAGAACGCTCTGTTTGTGGCATACTGTTGTTTGAGTTTGTATTGAAGCCTTTTGACACTCAAATAGTACATTCCTACTTCCATATGCTGTATAATATAATTCAATATCCATAAATCAGAATATTATTCATATTTATATACATGCATACACTTATTAACATCAAACATAATAAAAATGACATTTTCTCCAAATTTTGGTATTATTTTTCTCTAGGTTGCAAGTACTTAGTAACTATAAGGACATCAAATATTTAAATAATTTCGTTTACTTAGAACTTATGTCTTTAGGTTAACCATTTCTATGAATCCACCAATAATTTTTTCTCATCTTAGATTAAGTTATTTATGTTTCTGTCAATTATGTTCCTTTTGCCATTCTGGTAGTTATATATCTGGCATTCTATGTGTTACTACAAATTGAAATGCACTTATACCTGGTCATTTAGCCACTGCTCATTGGAATACAGGTTGTATAGCCAAGTTTTTGACTCAATTTTCATTATATCCAGCAACATCGGAATGCCATGCATATTTTCTTCATCAGCCCTATATCTTCTGTCTTTTTCAGCCTTCTTTCTATATTTTAGCATTCCAATGCTTAAAAAGTTTGCCAGTCGCTGCATTTGATCTGCAGGTGGTGTGTCAGTGGGGTCTTCAGAGAATGGGCCATAAATTTTTCTTGAAGGCGGCAAAAATTCTTCGTGTGTTCTTTTCTTTGCCTTTTCCTTCCTTCTCCTTTTAGCATCCGCGGTTTGTCCTGCCGGTGTGTACCTTGTGGGTGATTTAGCAATTCTCTTTTCCCTCAACTGTTAAATTTGGACAAGTTATTATACATTTAAATGAATAAATTTTAATATTTAAAAAATAATTAGTATTTTACCACAGTAGGAATGTTTGTAGGGGGTTTTCCTTCAGACTTTCTCAGTAATGCCTCTTTTTCAATTAGATCCACACTGTTGCACAGCTCTTTCACAAACTGTGAATTTTCTTGAGATCCCATTCCCCACATATCATAGCTTGTTGCATCATTTGTCATTTGCTTCTCATCATTCACTACTCCTTTTTGTCCTTCCTGATTGTTGACTTCTGTCTGGATTTCTTCCCTCTGCTCTTCTACCTCAGTGCTTGCCTCTTGTTCTTTTTCTCCTATCTTCTCTTCTTCCTTTTTGCAGTCTTCTGTTTCATTTTCTTCTCCATGCTCTTCCATCTCAGTGTCATCTTCTATATCATTTTCAGGCCTCAGCTTTTCTTGATTTCCTTCTTCACTTTCTTTTTGAGATTCAAATCCAAATATGTTAAAATTAGGCATGTCGCTCCCTATCTCATCAACATTCCCCCCTGCATTTAGCTCCTCACTTGCATTCATTTTTTCTGTCTCACTCTTTTCATCTTCGCTATTTTCAGTCTTCTTCTCCTTCTCAATGTTTTCTGTGCTTTTGTCATTTCCCTCATCTTTCTGGCATTCCTCCTCCCTCTCATCTTTTTGTGGTATATTTTCTTCTTCTACCACATTCTCCATGTGTCTTGGCATTCCTCCTTCTTGCTTATTCACTACATATGCTGACAGATCATTCACAATCCGAAAGATTTTAGCTAACATCACTGCTTGCTTCTTCTGAACTTTCTTCATTTCTTTCACATCGTTCATTACTTTTGCAGTTCTTGACATTTGCTTCCTCATTGCTCTGATCATTTTATTCCCTCCTGCTTCAACATCACTGTCATCCATGTTGTCCTCAGTTTCCTCTCCCTTATAATCACTATCTTCATCACTGTCCTTTTCTTTTGCACCTTTCTTTCTTTTTTTAGAAGTTCCTTGCTCAGCAATTTCTTTATTTCCTCTCCCACTTTCCATTGTTTTTGTTAGCCTTTTCGGCTTCTTTTTTCGTCCTCTTTGTACTGTTTTTTGTGCCTTTGGAACACCATTTCCATTCTTTCTTTGCACACCTTCCTCAGTCTCCACTCTACCACCATATATGTTATCATTACGCAAATTCTGTCCATCTCCTATGTTTGCTTCTTGGATCAGTGCAAGCTCCTGTTCCATTGGAACAATTTCTGTCCATTCAAACTGCCAAAAAAGTGGTTAATAAGATATGTATTTTCAAATAAAATTTAATAATTATATACCGTAAATTGACATACCTTCTCATTGTAGAAGATAAGCTCACAAAAAACTTCCAATGATGGTTTCTTATGGAACGCCCACTTAAGTGTCCTTGGCATTATATCTTCTCTTCCTTCTATGACTTTGCATAAACCGGCTTTTGACAGACTTGGAAAGGTTTCAAATGCCCACACTTGTAATGCAATCATGCACCCAGGGAATGTAACTCTTGTACCTGTGCAGTTTTCCAATGCTTCACAGCTTTGTTTCATATAACTTCGCAACTCATTCCACACAACCTCTCCCCATGGGTAAGCTTTAAAGTCCTCCAAATTATCAACCAGATTCAAGTAGTAAGCTTCCATTGGCCTAGCTGTTTGATTTCCTAAGAACCCATGTGAAAGCACATACAGGAGTGCTAACTTGACACCATCATACCTCATTGTCCCTTCATTAGTGCTTTTGTATTTATTTAGCACCTTTAGAATATCATTTCTTGTCACTAATGTCTTTCCTCCAAGATATCGTGTCCAGATATCTCCAGTTGGTTTTTCTGACATAACTGGCTTCACCCCACTCAATTTCAGACCAGTAACTATTGCTAGATCCTGTTTTGTGAAGCTTACTACACTTTTCTTTATATGAAATCGCATTGCGTTCTGGTCAACCAACCCATTGACATATCTGACATAGTTAGCTACAAAGGCAAGCTGCAATTGTCCACTAACGTAACTGATATTATCAAAATCAATCAGCCACCCAAACACAGTTGTTCTGAAATCAGCTATTTCCTCTTGGTTTAAAATTTGCCTTACTCTTTCCATGACTTTAAGAAGGTTGCAGAATGAATTGACACGCATGTCATCCAGTTTAGCCAGCATATTCCTCTTGAAGTACCTTGTCATTGTCTATTAATTTATCATTAATACAGAGTTGTGAAAACTAAAAAAAAAACTTAAAAAGTACTATAGAATGCCATCAATATGTCATTTTTTTACTTAAAAAAATACAAATGTTCCATAGCATCCTACTGGCTTTCATATAACTTCCAAATTGACAACAAAATGTTCACATCAGATTCTTGACTTCTCTATCTAACAGCAAGCTAACAAAATCTATCTTTCAAATACATTTACCTATGGCATTTGTATTATATCATATATATAATCCATGCAAGTTGCATTCACTTATAATCCAAGTACATTTTATGCAAAAAAAAAAAAAAAAGTATCACACCAATATGCCATGTACACATCACTTGACAATCTCAAATGTCATGATTCACTACACAATGCTCACATCAGATTCCATACTTCTCTATCTAACATCAACCTAACAAAATCTATCTTCCAAACACATTTACTTATGGCATTCGCATTCCATCATATAATCCAGGAAAGTGGCATTCACTTATAATCCAAGTACGTTTTATGCAAAATAAAATCAAAAATAGCACACCAATATGCCATGTACACATCACTTGCACAATCTCAAATGTCATGATTCACTACACAATGCTCACATCAGATTTCATACTTCTCTATCTAACATCAACCTAACAAAATCTATCTTCCTAACACATTTACTTATGGCATTCGCATTCCATCATATAATCCAGACAAGTGGCATTCACTTCTAATCCAAGTACATTTTATGCAAAAAAAAAGTATCACACCAATATGCCATGTACACATCACTTGCACAATCTCAAATGTCATGATTCACTACACAATGCTCACATCAGATTCCATACTTCTCTATCTGACATCAACCTAACAAAATCTATCTTCCAAACACATTTACTTATGGCATTCGCATTCCATCATATAATCCAGTAAAGTGGAATTCACTTATCAATATAACATTAACCTAATAAATCTATATGACAAATTCGGATATCTAGCATTTGTATTCATGAATGATTAGTGAACTTGCATTTTATGAAATCCATATATAATACACTGAATGTCAATCCGATTAAATGAAACAAGGAGATATCATGGAATATATATGGCATTCAAATGCTTTTACGAATATTAAATCTTCTACTCATACATACCGTTTTGGAATTGATTCTGATCTCTAGTGAACTCCGCGTGTCCAATTCGAAATCAGAGTCCTCCTTTTCGTCGTCATTTTGGAAATCAGAGGCTTCCATTTTCGTTCAACCTTCGAACAGAACTAAACGTTGTCTATGCTCTAGTTCCACTTCGTCGTCGGAAGAGTTTTTCGCGAGCTAGTAGATTGCTCTTTGCATTTATATCTCTTTGTTTAATTTTGAATACCTCGATGCTTTGGAAAACAATTTTCGGCGCGCTCGAGTTCCGTGTCAGTTTCTAAGTGGAAAGTGGGAACGGTAGCTTCGATTCTCTTTGCGTGGCTGGAGGTTATTTTTGGAAGTTTGGTTTCTTTTTAGTCCTACGCGACACATGTTTAATTGGGACTCCTATTTTTGCAATTTTATTGTTATTTAGTCTTATTTGGGTAAATTTCCCATTTAACTTTAAGAATAAGGCAAAAGCAAATCAAGACTTGAGGATTTGATACATGGGCAACAAAAGGCAACTTGTGGAGGAAAGGTACAAGCTTGTACAGCTAAACAGATATTCCCCCTCACAAGAATTAGCATTACTAATGGAATAAAATAAGAAAGGGATGTTTTTGCTTTGGTTCTTTAATATCCAAAACCAGGCCTTGCATCTAAAGGCTTCTGACTTTACTTGGCTCCTCTTTCAAGCCATACCCTATCATCATTATCATGTAACCCTAAAACAGTATATCTCCTCCCTCCCTTATTTAACTCCCACCCTTCATAGAGATTACTCACCATCATCTCATCTTTGTAAATCTCCACAAAGGCGCTGATCATACTAGGTAACAATCATATTCAACTAAGGTTACAACATTAATCTATTACCATGCACAATGTTTATACATTAGTGCTTAACTATACTAGTATAGTTATGTTATTTTCTGTGAACTGAATGATATGATCCACCTCAACAAAAATGTATTGGAATAATGATATCAATAGTAATAATAATAATCATAACCGTAATTGTTATTTTAGTAATATAATTATCATTACTTTTTTATATTATTCTTTTTGTTACTTTATCTCAACACCTGAAAAAGAGGTACAAGGCAGAAAGAGAATTACATCTAAAAAATATAAATCCTTCAAAGGTTATATAGAACCTCTAGAAGTTGATGCTTATCAATGGCATGTATCAATGCCGGTTAAGATACAAAAATTTGCTCCTGGAGTTGTAGTAACGTATATAGAGATGCACAAATGACATTTTAGAGCTGTGTTTCGCAGATAGCTGAGGCAGGCTTACAAGAGACATGATGAATCGGGGGGAGGAAGAGGAAGCTCGTTTGGCTGTTGCCGCTGCCGCTTCTGCATACGCCATACAATCACACGAACGCTCCCATAGGGATGATGAGGAGAGGAGAGGTGAGGAACCCAACAGAAACATTTCAATAAGGTCAACAACAGGAGCTGACTTTGTAGATAAAACACCATCTCCGTCTACATCCACTAAGAAGACACCAATTCCAAGCTTAAGCCATGGACCCAAAAAAGGTAATGAAGGTTCAGCCGCTTCCCGTTCCTTTCAAAGGATTCTGACAGCCAGACCTCAGCCTCTTGTTCCTACACCTGGTGGGAAACAAGAGAGTTTGAGGCAGACTCATCCACAAAGTCAACCTCCGTCTCAACCAACCATCCCAAAAGCGCCAATAATTCAACCAAATGTTGTACTTGGAAGCAACAAGGCAGACGTATGGGAACAAAAAGAGATGGAAAAGATTAATCGATGGTACGAGAAACTCCAAACAGATCTTAATATTTAAGACCAATACACTATGTTGTCAATCTAAAAAGTTCCCAAATGGTATCAGAGCCAATTAAGCTCAAATGAACAATTTAGTCTAGCTAAGACTCAAAAAAGCACTCAAATATTCAATATTAGTCTGAACAATTTAATATAAGACTACAAACAAACATACTGAGTACTCCGTATATCATTTATAGCTAATTTGCTTGTAGAAAGACCTTTTTAAAATGGAACCCCGGGTTTTAATATTGTTATGTGCAAGTGTGCTACCTTTCTTACACTAATAAGACGATAAGTTTCATCAGGTTTGAAGGTCAAACTTCAGCAATCGAAAAATGGAAGCGTACAAAGGAGGAAAAAGAAAACAAAAAGTTAAAGGAAACTGAGGTTTGCATTTTATATTTTTGCAATCAAGATCAGTAAATGTGTTCAACCTTAAGATTCTTTTGGAGACTTAGAACATGCTACACAAATATTGCAGGCAAAGTTGGAAGCACAAAATAAAAAAGCCAAGGAAAAACACCGCAGTGAGATTCAGAAGATTGAAAAAATTTCGAAAGATACTAAAGATCTGGCAAAGAAGCAGAAAGAAAAAGAGGAGCATAATGTGAGAGTGAAGGCGAAAAAGTACAGAGAGACTGGCAGAGCTCCATCAATGTTCTGGTGCTTCTGAACAATAAACAAATCTGAAAAATCTTGTCAATATGTACAATCAAAAGGTTATGTGCCAAAAGACAAGCAAGTGCAAATGTGTGGGCTATTGTTCTTCTATTTTGCCTGGAAGAAGCATTGAAATTAAACTTCCTATGAGAGTAAGGGAGTAATTGTACCATTGAAATAAGAATGAATTACATACAATCTACTAAACTCTGTCAAGTATGAATTTGGCATTATGGTTGAATCAAAGAAAGTTCAAAAATTACTTAAATACTTTTAAAAGCTGTGATCTTTTTGGGAGTAAGGCTGGAATGTTTTTGTTTTAAAAGGTATGAAGGCTTCAAAATTTCCCAAAAATAGAAAGACATCCACTAGTTGACTGATAATGTGAAACACATGGAACAGAAACAATGACAGTGAAACCAAACCATAAAAGGGTAGTAGACAAACACAGCATACAAATCAACAACAGCAAAATGCTAAATGCAACAAACAAACATAATCATAAAAGCAAATATGAAAGTCTGTTCAGTGTCTAAGTTAGCCCAACTGCCCAAGGAAGAACAGTCATTTACATGAGATTTGAATGAAAAACCAGGATCATATTGGATATAGATAGACATCACAACAGATAAATTAGGAAATAAACCATATTACAATGAAAACATCAATTACAACCTAAACAGAGCTTCAACTTCGTAGATGTAATACAAGAGAGTAATAAAATACAGAATCAATGTTTCTTCAAGAAATCTCCGGCCATCTTGGCATATTCGCCGTATTTATTTTCAGAGTGGCCGGTGGTGGTGGTTGGGCTGGGAGAAGATTCATGACTTGAGTTCTTATTGAACATCCCTTCCGCCATCTTTATATGCTCCCCGTACCCACCGCCGGAACTCCCCGACGAGTGCCCTTGTCCGGCCGCGGGAGAGTGGTGGCCCGGTGCTCAGTGGCGGAACCAGAACTTTTTTCAAGAGGGTGCTGAAAATATATACAAAAAATAGGTCTGATTGTCTAAATTGAAAGTATTATAAAGTTCAATGTTTTCATCTGAAAGCAAATATAATTAGGATGTTTTTACTTAGATTATTTTCAATTCCAGATCAGACCAGACCAGAACAGATAAGATTTGAATAGTTATAAAAACACAAAGAGACAAGACATTACCTCACCAAATCAAACCAGTTTAGACCAGACCAGCTCAGACTAGACTAAACCAGATAACAAATTACAGTCCAAATGAAAACATCCTTAATACGGAAAATTAGAAAACTTAACACATAATATCCACAACAAATTTGCTCTAGTTAAAATCATTGGAAAATTGCTTCAGTGTGAATGGTAGCTTTATAGGAGTATATTGTATGTATATGCAAATTGAAATTAATTTATCTAATTAGCCTACGGAGTAGCATACCTTTATGTTTAATCACTAATAATTACGACTAATAGATAAATATATTAAACAACAATATATGATTTACAGCAGAATTGCATTAATACTAATTCATAAATCATAAAGCATAAAAGCATGCAAAGGTATGCTACTCCGTAGGCTGATTAAATAAATTAATTTCAATTTGCATATACATACAGTACACCATCAACCCAATTACTCCGTATTAACCTAAGCGGCTAAGCCCCAAGGAGCACTCAGCACGGATTCAAAGAGGCGACGAGCCAACGTATATTATTGACGTTTTCAATTCATTCAGTTATCAATTACTCCGTATGTACTCCACGTCCTTTTTATTATATGGATGTCGTTTATTATACGGAGTATGTCGTTTCATTTTACTGTTCTCTTTTTCTGTTCATTCAAGGAAACGTCACCGTTTGACAAAATGAATTTTAAAAGATAAACGAAATTAGGTCGTTGTCTTCCTTCAGCTCAAGCAAACCAGTCCCGCCGGCACTGAAAACCCATGAAAGCTCCAGGGGCGGCGGAATAAATATACCATATATAAACCTTAAGTGCTCCGACCAAGGGGTGGCGCCGGCACCGGCTCGCCCACCCCTAGTTCCGCCACTGCCGGTGCTGCCGCGGTGTTGGAATGGGAGGTGCTGTACTTGTGGAGATAATCCTCTGCTTTCTCGACGTACTTGCCCATCGCCTTCCCATCCAGGTTCCCGTATTGCGAGGCCGCGTTGAGAAGATCCGCGGCGGCGGCGGATAGCTCCGCCTTGTCCGTCTTGCTCGGGTTGTTGCCGAACATCCCTTTGGCCGCTTCCCCTAGCACCTTCGCGCTGGACAGCAGCTCGGATTTGGACGGAGCCGGGTGGTGGCCCGCCGTAGCGCCGGGCTTGGCACCACCACTGCCTTCATTGTGGGTACGCGAATCCATGAATTTCAGAGACAAGATGGTTTTGCTGCTTTCTGATACAGATATGAAAAGTGGTTGAAGTTATCGGAGACGGTTCTTAAATGTGAGGGGAAGATTGATTGAGTTTCTTAGGATTTATACTCGGATTTATTATAGGTTAGTAGGATTGTGGGTGAGATCAACACACGTTTACGTACGTTGTGGATTAGATATTTCTTCTTCACGTAGATACCGTGTCTGGCTGCACGGATTTAGATATTAGTTGAAATTTACAAACTTACGGCGAAACTAGCGGCATTAAATGATTCTGCTGATTTAAAAAAAAAAAAGAAAAAAAAATATTTTCAAAATATATTTTATTAATAAAATAAAGAAAAAAATATGTAAAAATAGTTAAAATTCTCATCTAAGTAATTTTAACCAATACAGTCAGAAAAGTCACTAGAACCTTATTTTTTCTGCTTATAACATATTTAAGCCCGCGAAAGCAAAAGTTACGTGTTTGGTGAAAAAGTTATCTGACAAGACTGATAAGACGAAAAATAGTGTTGTCAAACGGCCACTTAAACTCTATTCGATGAACACAAATTATCACTAGTAGTCTAGTACAGTGATACAATCAACTTTATTAGTTTATTTAGGCGGAAAAAAAAGAGGCAAATAAGGTTGTGCCCTATTAAAAATTATACCAAAACTAGAGATTATGCCAAAACTAAAGGAGACACGTAAAATGGGACGAAAGTAGTATAAGTTATTTATGGATAATTATAAGTCACCGGATTATTTTGAGATTTTTTTTTAATAGTTAAGATTATTTTAAAATAATTGATATTTTAAATTATTTCGACCAATCACTAATTATTAATTATTCTTGTGCATTTTTTCATTAGACAATTTTGATCAATTTATTTGGGAGTGACCGAGGGAAGCGGCAAACCTGCAAGTCGGCAACCATCTCTTCAGATAATTAGGGACTACATCTGCTCCGCAAGCAAAATTCTGCAACAATAACCTTTCGTTGACTCGTCAGCAGGCATGGCTATGGAAATAGATTCAGCCAAACCGATACAAATCAAAGACGATGACCTGTTCAAGGCCGCTGAATCAGGTGATTCCGAGCTTTTCAAATCTCTCTCCGAAGACCAGCTTGTCAAAGCCCTTTCTCTCCGCAACGAAGATCGCCGCTCTCTTCTTCACGTCGCTGTCTCTTCAGCCCACGCTGAGGTCCCTTATTTTAGTTCCGCATTTTCCATCATTATGCTCCGTAGTAAGTTATTATTTTTATTATCTTTGTTTCGAAGTCGAAGCGGAATATATTACAGTTGTATTTTCTTTACGGCTACAAATATAATCTGTAGAGTTACAACTGTGTATGAGAAATGGAGTTATATTTAGTTAGCTATACAGCTTGTACAGATTGGATGCGAACAGTTCTATGATGTGAAGGGTTTTGTTTGTTAAATGCAGATACTAGGCGGTCTTCAGATAACCTTTTCGTTTTCATAAAGCCAATTCTTTTTGTAACGGAAAACTAGAATTTTGAATGTTTTTGTGCTTTTTGTCTGAATTGTTAACCCTGGTTGTTTAAGACCAACCTCATTGTGTGGATTAATCAGGTTGTGAAGATACTATCTGCGGCTGACTCTTCAGTTAATGGCATAAACTGTGGAGATGAAGAAGGTTGGGTACCCCTTCACTCTGCTGCAAGTAGTGGGAATATAGACATTGTGGAGATTTTGCTTAGCCGAGGTCAGAAGAAAAAGATTTATCTGCTTTTACTTCTTTTTCTCTTAATTGAATCCTCATTTGACCTTCGTATAAAAAGAAAATGTCTTGCTAGTTATCTTCCAACAATATGTGAATTTTATTCGAGAAAGACCTTGGAGCATATTATTTTTTACCTGAGTAGTGAATACTGAATTTGCTTGGATGACGTACTAAGCAGATTTACATTGTAGCGGGGCTATTTTCTATTTTTGTAGAAGATACAAGAATCAAGTAACTGTAAGAACAATATTCATACACATATTACTACCTCAATTCCAAAAAGAGTTTTGTTTTTTTATACTAAAGATGTTTTCACTTGACTGTTTTTTTTATACTAAAGATGGTTCAGTCTGGTGTTAGATTGAAACAAGTCAAAGTGAAAGCATCCTAAAAGCAGTACTAAACGCAGAGCACTTTTTTGGGGCTACATGGGGGTGATCTAGTGAGTTATGTGCTTTGGTTTTCTGATATATACTGTATTATTTAGTATACATGTTCATTTCATCTTTCAATTTTAATTCTGTTTAAGATCTAAATGTGGGTTAAGGCTATTAGGTAAAGCCAGGAGCGTCGGCACAAAGATAATTTTGAGATAAATTTGTACACATTTTTTTTACATATAGATTCAAAGCCTTTTCCAAATTTGGAGTGGGCCTCGGCCTTGTATGACCCCTACTTATGCCCTTGGTTATGGTCTTGAAGAATGAAAATCCAATTTTCAATCGGGGGTAGGAGGAATGTCGCTAATGGCTAGTGAAGTACATATGTGTGTATATGTGCCATGTTCTTCACCTCTGAATCTACTTTTGGACATGCAAATTTAAACACTCTGATGCACTGAACAGGAGCTAATGTGAATTTAAAGAATGATGGCGGTCGCACTGCTCTGCACTATGCTGCAAGCAAAGGCCACTTCAGGATAGCTGAAATTCTGATTTCACATGATGCAAAGATCAATGCAAAAGACAAGGCTCGTGCCTTCAAAACCACCACTACTACTACTTATCTGCCTCTTTGAATTGGCATTTAGTGCTGATCAGTTATGTTTATAATTGTTAATAGGTTGGGTGCACCCCATTGCACCGTGCAGCAGGCACAGGGAACTCTGAGTTGTGCGAACTCTTAATTGAGGAGGGAGCAGAAGTGGACGAAGTGGATAGAGAAGGGCAGACTCCTCTCATGATTGCTGTCGTATGCCACAATAAAGATGTGAGTTTGTTTATTAATACAATTTTATCTTCTAAAACCATAACTTTGTCCTTTCAACTCTTTGTTTTTGTTTTGGCCATTGTTCTCTCGAATCTGGATTTTGTGTGATTTCGTTTAGTGACAAACCAAGTATTTAAAACAAAATAGGCATTGTTATGAAAGAAAGGAAACGAAAAAGTATAGAGTTTTTTCCCGGAATAATGCTAATTAAATAAATAATTCCTAAAATATTGCTGGGTTAAAAATAATTCACAAAATAGGGTTAACCGTGGCTAAGAAAAGCCGTCACTCAAAGTGGCGTCTCTTCTGTTACAGTACAAAAGCCGAAGCTTTTCTTGCAGCACAAAAGCTGCCACTCGAAGTGGCGGCTCTTATGCCCAATAATTACCACACCAACTTATTCAACCAAATAAACACATAAACCTGCTCAGTACAATACAATCAACTCAGAAACATCAAACAACTGCTATTTATAGTCAATATTGAGCACTAAAAAACAAAACATATATGAGACACAAAACGGAGTCAATGAATTACATTTGATCACAATAATAGAAATCTCACATAAAATTGATAATAAATCCAACGTTTCAAAAAATAATTCGATCAGCTAGTTCATGTTTAACACAATAATGTAAAATACAAATATCACAAGTCAACGTGATCATCATCATAATGCTCATGTGGCTGTGCTTGTGCCTGAGGTTGGAGGCATCTGTGCTGGTTACAAAATTGAAGAACCACTCTATCACGTCGTAGTGTCTGGGAAGACCTTGTTGTGGATGTAGATGTCGTGGAATACTGAGAGGCGGCCACATATTCATGGTCTACTCGGCCTAATACATAAGCACACAGTGCAACAATGCCCGAGCATACCTCATGATATCCTTGTACATCTACCCCCTCATCAAGTATAACAGTGGCTCTGTCACGGATAGTATGCAAAACCCGCGTCTGTGATGAAAGCATGGTTATTAATGATAAACACATGAATAAATAAATAAATAAATAAATAAAGTCATTCATGTGAATATATTGTGTACCTTCAAATGAAGAACGACTGAGCTGGGCTGATAATGATCAGTGAGTAGACGAAACCTACAGAGACTGTGAGGACCTTGAAGCGGCGTATATATACTATAATATATGCCGCTCTCTCATCCAACATGGTGATATACTGAATATGGTGTATCCCCCAATCTTCGGTGTGCTTCCTTCGTCTGTCGATTCTGTGCAAGTCCACATAAGTATCACAAGGTAACGAAATAACCTGCTGCAACCCGAATTGTCGTAGTACGTGATCAGGAAAGTGATGCTCCACTACATCAAAACAAATCAAGGACACACGTGCTCGCCACGTCTCAGTGTGCTCTCGGCCAACAGGAGGCAAATGTCCTAGAATCTCATGAGTGGATGACATCCACGTCATCTATAATACAAAATATTATGACATCATTATTTATAAAAACGTAAAACAAAGCGATTACACTCAATGATATACAGGGTATACCTGATCATCACACTTGCCATCTAATGCATCTCGATAGTACCCTAATCCAGCAGCGAATAATGTGCGAGTGACGTCAGCAAAAAGCCATCTAACACACAGTATTGTATAAGAATGTAAAATGGATTCCAGTACGAAATACATAAAATAAAAATAATTAAACAAAATTCATAAACGTACTCATGCCCCAAAGGATGTGGTCCAAGTACAGATGGATCGTGCAAATTCAAAGTACCATGAAGAGGACCATCATCTATCCCATAATATCGCAGTATGACAGGTCTACCAATATGAATGTGCTCCCACTACCATAACTATATGAGCAATAAAAAACCACTCATCTCGCCACCGCTACAATGGCAACCTCAACATAACTGCCGATATAGGTATGTTAAAGTCGCACTTCCCCATAGCGCTGTTACTTTAAAAGTCTCCAGAAGGGGTAAATAAAGAACCTGCACCTCATTACCACTCTTGTCCGCAAATGTAGAGGCTCCCTTAAGCATCAATATATAGGCTGTTGCATATTGCTGCATAACAATGTCACCATCATCAGCAGGTAAAGAAGTGAAATGTTGTTTCAACTAAGGCAACCTCTAAGCGCACCCCCGAATATCTGT